TCTTCATCAGAGGGTCTGCAACTGCACTATTTAGCAATCTCCTTGATGACAGGTTTAAACTGTCCCAAAAGTCCTGAAGTTTCATCCATTGCTCCATTCCGTTATGAGGGCATCTCCGCAGCAGCTCCTTAAATCTTTCCCATGCTTCGAATACTGTTTCCCCTTCGCCTTGGCTGAAATTATGAATCTCCTTTCTCATCCTTCATGTCTTTGCAGCCGAGAAATATTTTTCCAAAAACTTGGTAGTCATCTCCTCCCACGTATGGATTAACCCTGTAGGAAAACTTCTCATCCACTACTTTGCATCATCCTTCAGCGAGAACAGGAATGCACTGAGGTATATAGCATCATGTGATGCTCCATTGTAGCGGAATATGTTCATTATTTCATCAAAGTCCATCAGATGGTTGTTGGGATCTTCATTGGGTTTGCCTATGAAGATGCAGTTATTCTGAATGGTTTGGATGACTCCATGTTTGAGTTCAAAATTGTTGGCATTGATGGGTGGAGGCCTCACACTATACTGTTATTGGTTGTACACCGGTCTAGCATAATCGCCCAGTGATCTCCCAGGCCTAGGTCTTGCATTTTCAAAGGCATCCCCAATAATTCGGTTGAGGTTGAGTCTTCGCTCTCAATCAACCGTTTCATCAGTAATTCTGCGGGACGCTTCATCTGCTGACCGAGCTTCCTGTTTCTGAGCTGCCTCTCTAGCAGCTAGGTCTACTATCTCTACATTGTTTACCATTTTATCCTGAGTTGAAGACTGACCCAACAACAATCCACTCACTCCTTTCTCTCTTTTCAGCTGCCTCAGGTGTTTGTCTAACTTTGGGTTGTATGGCACCAGGTCCTTTGAAGAGGATTGAGTCATACACCTCTAAACTTACCCTATTGCCTGCACACAGATAAAAAGAGCGTAAAAAAAAAGAAAATAAAATAAAATAAAGTAGTTTCTGAATTAGCACTGAAAACTAATTTAAACACTATTAGTCGCCAATCCCCGGCAACGACGCCAAACTTTGATGAGCACAAAACCGGCGTATAAACTTGGGCTCGCTAGTCAATGATAGTATAGTATTGAATCGTCTCCACAAGGATTGGTTTCAATAATGTTCTATTAATTCTCCAGCTTAACACTATCCAGGATAATCAACCTTTTGATTTATGTTATTATTGAATAGAAATAAACTACGATTATTAGCTGTAAGAAACTGATGATACCCGAATGATTAGTAAAAATAAAGGGATATCAATGAGAGAAGGAAGAGTGATGACAAGATATGTGATCAACTATTGTTCCGGGTAAATCTGTGCTAGATTCACTCTTAATTTCTATTGATTCTTTCGATTTCAACAGATGATTAAGCTACTTCAAAGATTTCAATTCTTCTTTCGAATGAATTTGATTCCCTTAGGTAACCCAATAACATGCCCTATGAATGTATGCACAAAATTAGTGAATGAACGATCTTTCGGAGAACACCTCTCGATTATTCTCATGGACTGGGTAAATCAATAACTCCTTAAGCTCTTTCGATTACTTCGAAAAGACGTAAAATCAACCCAATCAAGATAACATAAAGCCAATAGCAGTAAACTTCTCTTTCGATTAAAGTAAGACTACAATAAACCTTGCAATTCAATTAAGAATTCATTCATTAAAGTCGGGCAATTAACATAGAGTAAATCCCAAAACAATGATTTATTCACAACATCCGTCAACAACCCTAAGGAGACTTACTCCATGACGAAGAAAGTATTCAAAACAAGAGTACTAGAAGAACAAGAAGACATTATAATTCCCAAATTTCACCCAAACTCTCGTATTGAGTGAATTTGATCAAGTATATCGATTTCCCGTTGCTTCCGTCTTCTTCTCCCTCAAAAATCCCTTCCCAAAATCAAGATACCCTCTTTTTAGACGAGCTGGTCTTCATATAGGTCAAGGAAAGTCGCCCCCAAAATTATGAATTTAGCCCCGCATAATTTTTCCTCGGAGGGACGTGCGCGGCCGCGCACTTGGGCAGGTGACCGTGCATCTGGCCGCACACATTTGAAAGTTTCTGTGTGACTTGCGTGGCCCAGTGCGCGGCCGCGCACTTAGGCCATTTTTTGCTTTCGTTTTATTTCTTCTTTTTAAATGCGCGAACCTCCGTTGATCCTCGAATGAGCTCTCTATGTACTCCATAATCCTTTACTTGACCCCAACACTCCATATTAGCTCAAAATGATTCCGGACCCCATTGTAGCCCGAAATTTCTCCTGTAAAAACATAAATCAATTAGTCAGAGCAATTTACTACCATTTAGCACTCAAACATCAGTAAAGTGCAGCAAATTAGAATGCAAATAGTGGCCAAAACACATAGTTATAGCCTACCATCACCCAGCAGTCCCGCGAAAATACTCGGAGGGATGAAGAAGTTGCCATGAAACCGGGTGAGTTCGTGCATGGGGAAACCTCCGAGGTGATGAAGATGCTCGAACTATTGAGAAAATGGGTGGAGTCTAGTGAGAAAAATATAGAGGTCAATGATAAGAAGGTGGAAACGTATAACTCTAGGGTCAATCAGATCCCTGGAGCGTCGCCGATATTGAAGGGGCCGGATTCCAAAAAGTTCATTCGGAAGCCTTTTCCCCCGAGCGCGACACCAAAGCCGATCCCGAATAGGTTTTGAATGCCTGACCTTCCTAAGTATAATGGGATCACGGATCTAAATGATCATGTAACCTCCTATACATGCGCAATCAAAGGGAATGACCTGGAAGACGACGAAATTGGTTGGTACTGTTGAAAATATTTGGGAAAACCTTGTCCAAAGGGGCAATGATATGGTATCACAACTTGCCTCCAAATTCTATTGACTCGTTTGCCATGCTGGCAGATGCTTTCGTGAAGGCCCACGCCAGTGCCATCAAGGTCGAGACGAGGAAGTCAGACCTTTTCAAGATCAAGTAAAAGGATAACGAGATTCTTAGGGAGTTCGTGTCGAGGTTCTAGATGGAGCAGATGGATCTGCCACCGGTTGCAGATGATTGGTCCATCCAGGCATTTACACAAGGGATCAACCTCTGAAGTTCCGTGGCTTCTCAACAGCTAAAGAAAAACTTGGTAGAGTACCCGGCGATCACCTGGCCCGACGTCCACAATGAGTATCAATCGAGGATCAGAGTCGATGACGACTAACTTGGGGCCCCTTCGGGGTCTATTATCCCATCAAAACCGATGACAGGTCTAAGAGAATCATCGATCATGAGCCGAGGCTGGTCCGAGATCGATATCAGCCATACGACACGGATCGGAGGGGAAACGGATCCGGACGCCACCCAATAAGGAGCGACAAGAGAAATGATCGAGGATAGAGCAGCCAGGGCCTGATGAGCAAGAACAGGTTTGACAGGTCGCTCGGGAGTAAGGAGGCACCAAGATTATCGGAATATAATTTCAATGTGGACGCTGCAAGTATAGTGTCGGCCATAGGATGCATCAAAGTGACCAAGTGGCCAAGACCATTGCAGTCCGATCATGCACAAAGAGATCCTAGTTTGGTGTGTAAGCACCACGGTACTCACAATCATAGGACCGGAGATTGTCGACATCTAAGAGAAGAAGTAGCTCGATTGTTCAATTATGGGCACCTTCGAGAATTCCTGAGCGAGCAAGCCAAAAACCACTTCAGAAACAGGGACGCCAACAAACAGGTCGAACAAGAGGAGCCCCAACACGTAATCAACCTGGTCATTGAGGAAGTTGATGGCCAATAATAAAATGCACCAAAGTTTCTATCACGAGAGTAAACCGCACCCGGGATTACGTCACGGAAGGAGCCATCTCATTCAGCGATGAAGACGCCGAGGGCATCGTCCAGCCTCACAATGATGCATTGGTAATATCCGTGCTTATCAATAAATCTCGAGTTAAACGTGTGTTGATTGATCCAGGTGACTCGGCCAACATTATTAGATCGAGGGTCGTAGAACAACTGGGGTTGCAGGATCAAATTGTACCAGCGGTCCGGGTATTGAACGGATTCAATATGGCGTGCGAGACCACGAAATGTGATATAACTTTACCGGTAAACAATGTCGGGACCACCCAAGAAACAAAGTTCTACGTGATCGAGGGGGATATAAGGTACAAGGCCTTGTTCGGAAGGTCGTGGGTTCAAAACATGAGAGCGGTGCCTTAGTTAAAAATAAGGGTATTTTTGAACCAAAGTATAACGGTAGGGGTATAAATACCCCAATAATGTAACGGAGAATAAGTTTAAATAATTTTTGAAAGTAAAGGAATATATTTGGCTCTTTGCCGTAAAATAAATACCAAGGAAATTCTTTATTTCTCTCCTTTTTTTTTCTTTTTTTTTTTGGTCATGGCAACGATTACGCAAAATCAAACTATAAAAAGAAGTATTTTTTAAATTATTAACGCTACTTTGTTCTCAATTTAAGAATTTATGGAGTTCACATATTCACATATTAAGTATATAATAAAAAGAATAAATAATTAGTTTCTCAAATGGTCAGGTTAAGTTAATGATGGAGTAAAGTCACTTTTTTTATTTGCTCTTCATTAACTTGCTTAATCCAACCTTATGAAAAATCAGTTCAGACAGAAAATCAACCTAATAGTGCTGGAAAGATGATGGTGGTGTTTACCCTTAAAATGGTATAGTTAAATTTATAATGTGACTACAGCATTCAATGAGCAACCGTTACAAATAATCTTTACATTAATTCCCAACCGTTGTGCAGCCATCAAGGTGGTATGCCACGTCACCCACTAAATTCATTGAATACAAAATTGATCCCCTCCGAAAGATAATGAGAAGAAACCAAAGGAATTGACGCCCTGTCATCTTGATCAACACCTATACAAGGAAGCCGTAACATGATGGATTATCTCACCTTAACATGGACTAGTCCCATCAATTAACTAAACAAGACCAACAAAAGATTACAGAAAAAGAACTTAATGCTGGATTAGTGAGATCTGGATAGATGGAATACTCTCTTGTTTATAAATTTTTGTTTCTTGTATCTCAGTTTGAAAGTGGTAATGCTGAAAATTTAAAGAAACTGTACAGTTCATAAATACCTTTCCATGAATCAACATTTAAACAAGAATGAGAGATGCATTTGACAATCCATTTTGAAGCTTATATATGAACACAAGTACAGTGGCTAAATATGTGTCATCCTCCAATAAGAATCAAACCAATGGCTGTAATAATAAGCGTAGATGGAACTCCAAATTTCAGATGACTCCAAAATGACAGATTGTAGCCGAAGTGTTGAGCGCGACGAGCCTGCTCACATACTATTAAGTTTGCTGCTGAGCCTAAGAGTGAAAGATTCCCTGCGACAGTGCTGACCCAGGCTAAGATGAGCCATGCTTTCTGCTCGCTAGCCGGAGATATTGCAGCTGCTGATGCAGCTACGCGTGCTCCAAGCAGCAAGACTGACACCAAGTAAAAACATGCCATTATACACTGGATCAACAACCATTCTTATCACCAGCGTTATCACTATTTAACTGTAATAACTAGAGAATTGTGCAACAATAAGGAATATCATGTTAACTCAAACGGTTTAGTTAGGAGGAAAGTTACAAGGCAATATTTGGGCAGATTAATGAAACAGTGTTAATAGATCATATATCAAACTTCTATATATTGTCAAACACCCCAAGGTTCATCAGCTGGTTGTCTATTCATAAATTATTGAGGAAGAAGCAGAAGGCGCTATACTCATTTACAGAACTGAAGTTGCTGTGATTTTCTTCTTTAGGACTGTTGGTTTTTTAAAAGATGGGGCAGTAAAATGATTAAAAGTATTGATTGAAAATGTCTCTCAACAATTTTATTAAGCATGACAAGGCTTTAAATAGCCAATTAGGAACAAAAATCCACATAATTTAAAATTCAAAAAACCTAAAATATCTCAACTAACTTAAACAATCTTAATAGAAATTCATATTATACAGTATGATTTTAACTCACATTTAGGCAAGAGATTATGCTGACCGCTTGATTTACTTTTTGTCATGGTTCTCAACAGACTAGTAACCATAGGAGAATGAAAGATTTGTTTTTCGAGTGAACATCTAGGTAAAATTCAGTTCCCAACTAAAGGCAAGTAATCCCAGAAGAAACTGTTTTACTCCTTTTGGGTTTTAATCGTTTCTTTTTCTCCTTTCCCTCCCTTTAGGATTTCACAGAGCAGCCTTAGCCACTTGTCTATATATTGTTTGTACACACGTGTTGGCGAACAATTGTATCTCGTAAAGCATATAGTAGATGAAGAATGAAATGCGAGCATATGTAAAAAAAAAAGGGTTAATTTGGGGCTCAAAGAGTGCAGAGACACACACCAGTAGGCACATTTGAAGCCACATTTGACAGGACTAGAATGACCAGAGCAAGAACTGCTATTCCCGCAGCATGATCTATCTTGGAATATGGCTCCATAAGATCCCAAAGAGCACTTGGAATCCCAGTTTTGTTAAAGCCATCAACCGTGATGAACATACCACAGAAGAATATCAAGAGTGAATAGGAAACCTGTACAGTCGAATGAGCAGAATGAATAAGCTTTTATCTGGTGTATATGTATTAGTACATCAACACTTAACAGATGAAGAGGGAAATCAGTTACCTTTTCTAAGCATGGCCTAGCATCTTTGAAATCAAGAACGACGAGTACAAGTGCTGCAGTGATAGCAGTCCAAGACATATTCAGACCCATTAGCAAAGCTATTAGCATCCCAATGGTAACCAGATAAACACATACTTTCCACAACATATTTTTCCATTTCTCCTTTTCGTCATAAGATGTGAAATTTTCATCTTCATATTCATCAATTTTTGAAGACACATTCTCTTCTGTTTTCTGTACTGATCCATCATTTGGTCCTTCTTTCGAGGCATTTTGTATTTCACTTTCTCCAAAATTGCCACGATTTCTAAGTGTCTCAGCATGATTCCTAGGAGAGCTGCTGATAGTCATAGAATCCAAGGCATTGTTCAATTCTTGAGAATTCGAGGAATTAAGATGTGACATTGTTGCTGGAGAAAACCGATGGGAGACTACTTCTTCCTCAGGAACTACGTCTTCCACATCCTTATGGACAGACAACACCTTCCAATACATACAAAGAAGCAGCACGGCATTAACAACTACGCCGACAAGCAGTGCAGGAAGAATTCCAAATAAAAACTTCCCGAAAGATATATTGCTTTGTACTGCTATGACTAAGTTCTGGGGATTCCCAATTGGAGTTGCAGATGATCCAATATTTGCACTTGAGGCTAGAGCTAATAGGAAGGGATGGGGTGGAAGATTTTGTTGCCTAGCTATTTTCAACACAAACTCGGTTAACACAACACAAGAAGTATCGTTGGTAAAAAAGGCGCTTGAAACGGCTGAAATCAAGCAAATTCGACAAAGTAAATCCTTAGCTCCCTGGCTCTTCCAAGCCAGCAATTTACCCAAGTATTTAAACATGTCTGCTCTTTCTAGATAAACACTAACAACCATAGTCCCAAAGAGAAGGCCTAAAATTGGAAGATCGATAGCAGCATACGCTTGATCTGGAGTCAAGACTCGACAAAGGACCATGAGCATAGCCCCAAGGAGAGATCCTGCAGTTCTTCCAATAGGCATGAAAGGGACAGCAGGGAAAACTGCCAATACCCAAAAGATAGCAAAGGCAATTGAACCAAGAACCACTTTAACAGTTGGTTCCATAGCCATTTTTTGTACCTTAGTATAAGTCCAAACTCCGATTGTCAGAACATTAATTGGCAGCTAGAAGAAGAATCAGAGCTGATGCGAGTTAGCTCTTTCTGAACAAGTTATGTAAAACACATCAAGATCAAATGAATCACAAAATAACACAAAAAAGTTCTAACATCCAAAAACAAAATTTTCAATCTGGAGTTATAAGTGGGGTCCCTCCTAGGAAGTTAGGATCTTAGATCATTCAATAGAATCAGAGTAAGTTCAGTTTCTTTCACAGCTCAAAAAGATCTATAAATTTGTATCACAACACAAACATTTATGCCCAAAAAAAGAAAGATTAGAAAACTCACTTTGACCAAAAAAGCAAGTGTACTTTCTACTGAATCTTTAGCCAAAAAGGTTGTGGGATGCAAAGGGGTTCTTTGGCATTACTCTCTGTTCGTTTCAGATGCTGTACTCTGGATTTGAATAGGAGTACTTATTTAGCAACAGTTTGAAAAGGGAACTGATCCACATTTCACCATTAACTTTTTAAAAGGTAAAGAACAGAATCAATTTTGGTTCACCACTTGTCAGCATGGTTTTCAGTAAAATACACACCGACTCTACGGCACATGATTACTCGTTTATATAGTACTGTAATGTAATTATTTATGAATCAATAAATCTGCCGAGAACTGATATTGACAGGGAGCTATTTTTCTGCTTCAGCAGTTAAACGAGTTTGCTTAATCATGTATCATTGATTATGATATTTCCTAGTAATATGTAAATGTTTCTTGACTTGTTTGCTTTTATTTTAACTTATCCCCCATACCCACGACGCCCCCACACCACTTACCTAAACGGGAAAAGAAAATTTGAAAATGAAACTCCTTTGTCCATACAAAATATTTTCTCTTTTTTTTTCCCCAAATTTTTTGTTTGGTTAAAATTTTGGACATGAGTTTCTGAATTTGAAAATGTGGGTTTTACCACTTTTTTATATAAAATTTTATTTTTGCTCACAGAAATGCAATATTGTTTTCAAGTGAAATATATAATCAAATACAATTTCAAGTTCCAACAGTACTTGAAAAAAATATTTTTTTAATATCCAAACGCCTATAAAATCATTTAAGTCTGTGGCTGCCAATAGGTTCGTTATGGTCATTATATTTTCTATTTTCTCTCATTTACGTGATTGAATTTACCACAACCCAAAATCAAGAAAAGTGACAAGCCGTAGTAGTTTAGTTGCTGAATAATATCATGACTCATGAGAGGTTCTTATAATATTTGTAGTTTATAATGAGTGAACTACTATAAATTATTATATCCGGTTGTGGTTCCGTCTCATCAACAAACTTTATCTTCGACTCTTTCGCGATTTCAGAATTTCTTGTTCTATTTTTGTGGAGAAACAACTTTAGGACAAGTATTTGCAGTGCAAACAACAATTTAGAGAAGGAGCTTAATTAGAATAAAAGATAATCAGACCAGAGATCCCTGTAATATTTCTTATTAAACTATCAGATCTAGATACTGCGATATAATATTACTTTCCACGTCCCAATTTGCAAACTCAATTAACTGAACTAGTATCGTAATGGTAAAATTTATTCGCGTACAATATTTATATCAAATTAATAAATGCATGACATGTGTTTGCGTATAGATTTCTGTCACTTAATCATGATATATATATATATATATATATATTGTCACGATACAAAATCCCTCCTTAGGAGTCGTGATGGCACCTAGTCTCCAAAATTAGGTAAGTCGGGCACTCAATATTATTTAAAACAATTAAAGCATGAAATAACGAAAAAAGAGTAATACATGCCAAAATGGCAAATACTCAACATAATGTCCCAGAACTAGGTGGTACAGAGTCTCAAGCTCTAACTGAATACACGAGATTAATCTCAACTATAATACTGTGTGAAATACATAAACAATAGAAATGAAACAAGGGGGTGACTCAGAGGCATGTGGTCGGATCATGCAGGGATACCTTGAAGTCTCCGGTGTGTGCAATGCCTCATTGCCGATCAGTCCTGTCCGAGGTACCTAGATCTGCACAAAAAGATGTGTAAAAGCGTAACATGAGTACACCACAATCGGTACTCAGTAAGTTTCAAGACTTACCTCGGTGGAGTAGTGACGAGTTTCAAGTCGTGTGGTGCTCGCTAGACAAATAACCTTTACAATGAATATGTTGAAGAAAACTGATAATTGAGGTATAATTGAATTCAATAATCACAACCCCTCTAGAACATGTATTAACAACTCAATGTAGTAAAACCCATTTTGATCACGAAACAACAAATAAATGTGAGGCATGTGATGTCATGGGCTGCTTTCCATCATCGACCCATGACCCCTTGGACGCGCCCCGTGGCGTCCCGGCAAGCCTCCCAACGCCTAGCGCCACGGTCGGCCCCGTGGTCTCGGCAGCGCCAAGTGACAAGCGAGCATGCGCCTCTGTCGCCCCACCGATAATCAATGCCAGCGCCCAGTGGCTGGCCAATGCCATCAGTGCTGCGCGCATCGACAATGCCGCGCACACAAATCATCATGTTGCCATCAGCGCCGCACACCCAGACAGTGCCCCGCGCGCAGACCCAATGCCAAGCACCAGCACCCAGCCGCTGGCAGATCCAAATAGTGCCGCGCGCGCCTACAGCAATGCACGCGCAGACCCTGCTGCTCAAGACAAAGTTGCTGCCATCGGACTTGCTTCCATAGAAGACTAAGTCCTTTTCATTGTAATTATAGAGTAGTTTTACTTCATTCATTTTCAGTGTGCTTCTACAGCTTTCTTAGGTCAACTCATGTAACTTTGGTTTATTTTTTTTAAGCATTATTAAGGGGGACCAAAGCATTCAAACATTCAAGCATTCAAACAATTCTCTGTACTGGTGTCTTCCCCCCCGACACCGCATTTCATCTTGTAATAGCTTTCATCATCATCAATACAATCATCAGCTTTCATCATCAATTGCTCATTTTCCGCTGCTCAATTGCTCACGACATTGGTTTTCCCGTACGGCACTGACAATCTAGTCTAGCGTACGGCGAGGGCCTCAGTTGGTGCATAGCAACCGCACTGACATCGGTTGCTTAGCCTTACGTTGCCCTTCCAAGGAACTTTAGGAAGGCGCCGCATAACAGATGTAATGTCAAATACAACCATAAACTCAGGTAAGTGCCAAACGTAAACTTTTAGAAACAATTATGAAATAAGAATAACAACTCCGTCTCAACACAAACACAAACAATGAGGAAACCCCGAAATATCACATAACATCATCAAAATGCCACCCTTATTACGCTGCATGTGCAAATAAAATGGTATGCCACCCTTATTTTGTCTTATGCGCATATAGCCACCCTTATTAAGCCATGTGGGCAACGCGAGATAACACCACCCTTATTTCGCCCCCACGCATACAACCATAGACAAAGAAATCGCACGGTAAAACCTCATGCTAACACCCTCAATCAATCCGCTCAATATGTCCATGAGTGCCACGGTATCACAAAACGATAATGCCAAGTGCCACAATATCACAACAATAGTACTAAAGTGTCATCAAAGTAAAAGTTCATAACTTTCAACAATCGTGCACGAGGACATAACAAATAATCATAGAAGCAGAGAAATATTCAATAGATAAAGCATGTCTATGGCTGTGTCAATGAAATGGGCATGGTCAAATAGTCATAAAGTAATTTCACTAGTTTCTTATAAAGTTTATTATCACATTAAGGCATATTAATGGCCTACGGTCTATTCCGGTCAAAATCAAATATAGTGCCCGTATACACGCTCATCACATCATCTACACACCACTTACCACATCATAGAAATCAACAATTAGGGCTAGCACCTAAGGAGTATTCCCTCCCCCCCACAAGGTTAGACAAGAACTTACCTCAAACAAGCTAAATCAGTTCACTAACAAGCCCTTCCCGTTCAAATCCACCTCTCGACGGCTCGAATCTAGCCAAAATAACTTAATATCATAAATAAAAATCATTGGAAACGTGTCTAGATAATAAATATTCGATCTTTAATTAAAAAAATGTCAACCTCGGGCCCGCACCTCAAAACCCGACAAAACTCACAAATTCCGAACATCCATTCCGATATGAATCCAACCATACCAAAACCATCCAATTCCAAACTTAAATCAGCCTTCAACTCATCAATTTATGTTTTAGAAAAGGTTTTACAAAAATCTCAATTTTTCCAATTCAAATCACTAATCAAACACTAAAATTGAGGTTGGAATCATGAAATAATACCAAATATGAGTCAAAACACCCCAATCTAAATCGTAAAAATCCCCTCCAAAATCGCCCAAAACCGATCTCTCTAACTCAAAATGTGGTAAAATAACCAAAACCCTCAAAATAGAGTATTAAATATATCTGCCCAGACATACTCATCATGATCACAGAAAAGCTCTCTCGAAGACCAAACTTACCTAGCTGCCAAACCGTTCTTCGCGAACGCGACATACTAGTCGCGAATGCGGTGACCAGCTACATAGTCCCTAAGTGATCGCGACTCCTCAAACGCGAACGCAAAGGGAAAATGCTTGATGAGCCCTTTCCTCTTTTCCTTCTACACGAACATCTCACATAGCTGGCGAACGCGTAAGAAACAGTCTCCCAAGCTTCTCGAATGCGGTCCTGACTTCCCGATCGCAAAGAATAAATGTCTGCCACCAAAATGACTCTACCCGAATGCGACTCCTTAGTCGCAATCACGATGAAGAAAACCATATATCTGCTAACATCAATCTAACACAAAAGGAAATGGACTGTAGCCCATCCGAAATACATACGAGGCTCCCGGGATCCCGTTCAATCACACCAACCGGTCCTAAAACATAACATAAACCTATTTGAGGCCACAAATCACACCAAACACCATCAAAACTACAAATCACACCTCAATTAAAGCCTAAGGAAACTAATGAACCTTCCAAATTCAAAATTTGCGCTGAACAAGCCTAAACAACTCGGAATAACCTCAAATTTTGCATGCAAGTCCCAAATGAAAAAACTGACCTATACCAACTCTCAGAATCACAATCCGCTCCCAATATCAATAAAGTCAACCCTCGGGTTAAACCTATTGACCACACCCAACTCTAGTCCTAAAAAGAATAAGCGGTCGCTGCAAATATAATCTGGTCTAAAAGTCCAGAGTCGAATCCCACAGAGAACTAATGTTTTACTATCACTGTTCAATATCACTTAGAAGACAAGCTCGAACAATTCCTAAGTTATAAATATTAAGTTTCTTATATCTAATTAACTAACAAATTAAAGTAGTAGATTAATAACTAAAGATACTACGGGTTGGAGAAAAGATTAAGGAGGTGTAGAGTTATGATTTTTCCAATTGTCGGAATCCTTCCCGCTACGTCTTCTATAATTTCGCCTAGGTATTCTCTAACGACCGTGAGTACTTCAGGTGTCATAATTCTCTCTCTCGAAACTACCACAATTTACTAGATATATTCTCTCGAACTACGCTAGTTGGCACTAATTCACCGCTCACTACGATCGCACCAAGGTTTCGTTATCTCTAATCCCGCCTTTAAACCCGCAATATTGATCTCTCATATACGTTAGGAGTGACGTTGTTCAACAACCACCTAAATATGTACTCTTTTTCAAGCAATACATAATAAATAGGCACTGTTAATTGAGAT